TTCAAATACCACACCACCTATCCTGTGGGAACACCAAAATATCTCTGGACATGGACAAATATCCACAGGAATGAGTACAAGGAGTGAGAAGATCCACTCCAGTAGAGAATTTCAGCTCTAGCAGTGTGGAAACGCATTCTTATGTCTCCCATATTCTCTGCGTTAATGCCCCTAAGGGTCAAGAGGGAACCCTCTGGAGGCCCACAGTTAGCAAGAAAATGTGAGCATGAGCAGAGGCAAAATGAGTAGCTAAAGAAAGATTTGGTGTAGAAATAAATGAATCTGTGAATATCATGAGTGTGTGCAGATTAAATATTTAACCACACATTTTGTAGAAACGTCAAGTTGTGTAAAGTTCAGGGATTTGGTGACAGAGCCAAGGGGAAAAGCTTTCGGTGACACCTGATCCTGACTCAGCTTCCAAATCCGGCTCCTTGTCCCCAGTCATTGGATGGATCCGGGTTAGGTTGGATAAAGCTAATGTTTACTTCTAGGGAGTAGAAGGGATGAGGTGTCCCAGTCCCTGGATCTCAGGGCTCCAACTTCTTCCTCTCCTCACCTGGCCCTGCCTGTGGTGGCTGAGTCCACAACTCTCTCCAGAAACATAGAGAACGTGGTGTTAGCACCAGGACCCCAGGCTCATGCCTAGGCTAAGACTTGGGTGGGAGTCTTGCCTTTCTTTAAGTTTCATTTTTAAATAGGCTTCTCTTTCTAAGAACACCCCAAAATAACATGTTATGTAATCAGAAAATTCTTTGTAGAATCTCAAAATCTGTCCACCAAACCAGTGATACAACAACTCATTAGCAGCCCACTGTGTTGCCTTTGTCACACAAAGACCAGAGGAGCACAAGTCATGTCCTATGGAGCTTCACAGTCAGAGAAGAGCCATAATGTCAGGTCACAGTCACTAGGACAAAGGTGCACACACAGGGCGTTTGGGTCTTGGAAAGGAGATCTCCAGAGATCCAAGGCCATGATATGAAACAGAAAGTAGGCTGTCTCTGATGTGGCATCGAGAATATATAAGGAGTTTTAACCTAAGGGACTCAGGCAAGGACAATAGAGTAGAAGGCTTCAGGTGGAGCAGTGGCCTCAGCAGAAAAATTATGGGGCATGCATGGAGATCTACTTGGAGTCCACAAGGGCAGTTGTGCAAGTCAAGGTCACAAGAGTCCACCTGATTCAGAAAGTGAAGGCCCATAAGGGTCTGACTAAGGCAGTCAATAGTGTTGAGAGCTGTCTCTGTTGTCAGAACATCTGGCTCCTTTGGCAGCTCTGTTACCCGTTAGCTGTGTGCCCTTGGTCAGGTTACTTGCCTTCTCCATCTCAACTAGTACAACTGGGGGGAAATGATATGCCTGCCTCATGGACTGGAAACCACACATCTCCCTTTGCTCAGCAGAAGCATGGTCTGTGATCTTGACCTGGTGTTCCATTCATTCTGTGACCTCGTGTAGCTTTTGAACTGGCCTGAGCTTGGCCAATAAATTTCATCACCACTATGCTCAATGGGTTTTTGTGAAGATTAAAAGGGGTGTTCGCAAGGCCTTGCATCAAGTAACTGCTTTGTAATGGTTGATCATGTGTGTTTTACTAAATCTGGAAATCAGTAACACGGGTAGAAGCTACATTCTGAGAAGATTAACAGGCCACCAGCAGGTAGAATATGTTCAAAGGCAATGTGTAAATGATGCCCCAATAAAACTCTTCAAGAAATGGTCAGTCAAATATCAAATAAGAATGGATCAAACTTTAGGGCTTATTTTAAACTGTGGAGTTTTTCCTCTTGATGGAACAAGAATATCTCTAGATTTGTAGAAAATGTAAAGTAGCAGTTAGTTTCAGGGGTCTCTAGTGTTCTGAGCAGCCCTCCCTGGGAGCTCGGAATAACTTCCTCTAATGTTAGAAATTAATCTCCTTCAGCTGATGTGAAGGCAGGCCATACCCTGTGCTCAGCCCCCGTGTGAGGACTTACCCGCTGTAACTCACTCTGGCTTCATGACAACCCCAGAACAATTCCCATTGTAAAGGAGACCCAGCTGAGACAGCTCCACAGCAGCATTGGCCTGAGGCCTGGAAAGCATGTGGTCTAGGATTGGCCAGGGAAGTTTGATCAGTACACATCTTGCTGCCATAAAGACATCTTCTAGACCAGGGCCATTCCTGAAGTTTCTGGCCTGGGTAAGTACTACCCCACCCAAATTCTAGATGGTGGCTTGATCACAAGGTTAGAGAGGTTCCCATCCAAACACCATCCTGGAGACTGCTGTCAGCCCTGGAAGTGAGGGGCAGATCCCACTGTACAGAATGAGTGAAAAAGGAAAGCATGAGGTATCTTGTGCCCAAAGACTGTGGGGCTGATTTCTAGGAACTATTTCCAATGAACAAAAGTCAGGTATCATCTCGTCTTCAGAATTCTTTCATGGCCTTGGTGCCAATGCATAAATCAGTGAGGAAAAATAGCTTTCACGGAATGTTATTACTTTTATTCAGCCTGGCAAGGCCTCAGATGACAAAATATTAGTGTGAGTATATTTCAGGTCTTCAGTGAGCTGAATGTCAGGCCCAATATAATTCTCACTTACCACACATGTACCTGTGCCCCATGACCCAAGCTATCCAGGGTAAAATCTGAATAGTTCTTCTCTACAGCCTGGTTTGTCATAGCAGGTGGTCAGTACGTGTCATATGAACATGGAGACCAAGGCTACCTTATTCTCCCACTTCCAAATTTAATTTGGGAAGCTGAAGGAAAGTGCCTGTGGGAGGAGAAAAGAGCAGGCCAGCAATACCAGCATTCACACCATTTAGAATCTTCAATTTCTGCTGACCATCTCTCGCTTTTAAACGTGAGTTTTGTGTGTGGAGATACAGTCCTTTGACACACCAGGAATGGTCACTGAGGGCTATGCAGAAGACATGGAGATGAAGAAACACACACTTCATTTTACTTGACATGAGATTGCTTTTGCTGAGCACAAAAACTGCACAGGGTCCAGTGTTCCCGAAGACAGTGGGGCAGGTCTATAATCATTGGGCAGTGGGCAGAGCCCTCACCATGGCCTATTCAACCAGTCCAGCTCTATTTCTTTGAGAAAGTCTTTTCCTGGGTTTTGAAATGAAGATCGCCAGCAATACTCCAAAGGGAGAAACTACATCGGGAAGAACATAACTTTCTTTCCATTTCTAGCTACTTCCTAAATCAGTATGGTTCTTAGTGTGTCCAGAGCAGGGGAATGATAGAAAGACATGAGTCTCAAACAATCCCAACGGAGAACAATGCATCCATAGTTAAATGACCATTGACGCATCAGTCAGGCCCTTGTCACTCATTTTTTTCTCTCTACTTTCCTCCAACTTTGTTTCTTTTGTTCCTTCATACCATCCCTGTTTGGGCTGATGTGGTGTTTCTGTCCTAGGAGGCTGTCCTGTGCCTTGCTGAAACCAAGAGGGACATGTTGCCTGCTTCCCTCAGCTGGCTGAGTGCCACCTGCACTCAGGACTGTGTACTTGCTATTCCCTCTGCCTAGACAACTCCTCCCAAAAGGCCCCGTGGGTTATAACATTCACTCAGGTGAGCTGAAAAGTCCCAGTCCAATAGCCTGCCTGAAACTCCTACAGGATGCTGCCCTGGTGGTTCTTTTGTGGTTCTAGACACAATCACTTTCCCTTTCTCTCCTAGCTAATTGCAGTCTTGTTTGTTACTTCTGACTAGAGGTAACTGTACAAGTGCAAAGTCTGGCTTGACTTGTTCCTACAATGGAGTCTGTGGCACAGAGCATAGGGCCCATCCTAGGAGATTCATGGCTGTTAGGAATATCGATGGATACACGAATGGGTGGATGGATCGATGATAGATGGATAGATGGAATAGCGCTTGTGCGAATAGAAGAATGAAACCTCCAATTGAGTCTTAACTACTCCATTTTCAGCCTTGTGATAAGCTCTTGACACAAATGTCAGCCATTCTTACAATGCCAGGCATGGGATGTTGCATACCCAGTTCAGAAAAGAGGAAAAGGAGCCTTGGGACAACCAGCATGGTAACCTGCCCAAGAACATGTCATGATTAGGGGTTGCACTGGAGGTTCAAATCTACAGCTGCATGAGCCCAGGTTTATAACCCTCTCACCGAATATCACTGCCCCCTCCCAGCATCTGTAATCATACATCTCTCATCATCCTATGGATCAGCAGAACAGAATCCCTAATGAACTAAACAACACTAATCTTACATACGAATTTATGACTAACTATAAAGTTGACCTAACTGAGTGAGAAAGTCTTTTTGAAAACCACCTTCAAAGAAGGTGTGAAATGATTTCTATTTCCCAAGGAAAAGCACCTGGGTTGCAGTCTATGGGTGATGAAAGTCTGTCCTCCGAAGGCAGCATATGGAATTGCATCTAACCCAGGTGTTTGCAGAATCAGGAGGAACAGACACTGAATGTGAAATGTGTTCTACCCTGAAGAGGTAAAAGAGAAACAAGAGGAGTAATAGGGTGGGGGGAAGAAGAGGAGGGGGAAGAGGGTGGGGGAGGAGGAGGAAGAGTTAAAGGTGAAGAAGAAATAGGAGGGAGGAGGGGAGAAAGAACTGGGGAAGGAGGAAGAGATAATGAGGACCACAGCAAGAATAAAGCAACAGGGATGACAAGACAGGCTCACAAGGTTCTCATTTGCCTTATTACTTTGCACGCACTTTGACGTTAATTTCATCGAATGACCTCACCATTATTGCAGTTGTGAGACCTTTGAAGGTTTTCAAAGTTCTGTCCCCTCGGGTTGTAGGAACAGAGCCCAGGAGGGCTGGGTTTGGGAGATTCTCCAAGCCCCTTCCTGACCCAGGGCCAGGTCTACCCTGTGACTCATCCTGTCACCTGTGGGAGGGATTAGGGTGGCCACCAGGAGAATAAAAGGCTGAGTTCTTCACAGTCACCTCCAACAGGAGCTCCTTCTTCCTACCACTTTAGAGTGACCAGCCAAGAACAGCCGCTTGAACCATGAAGCTGGTGGCAGTCCTCATGCTGACTGCCCTCCCCCTTTACTGTTATGCGGGTGAGCCTGGACAGGTTTTTTGGCTTTCCAGGAGGGCTGTTGTCAGGGTCCCTGTGCAAGCACTGCTGTTCCCCATCCCCTATGCAAAGCAGCCCATTTCTCTAGTGTCAGTGCTGTGTGTATGGGGGTTGGGGGGCAGGGGGTAAGGACAAGGAGGCAGATGCTTTAAGGCTAAAAGAAAGTTCCAGGTCCTGAGTTGAGTCTCCTAGAACTGAGGACTCAAACCCTTCCCACAGCCTCTCTGAGCATATGTCCCTGTGGGGAGGTAAGAAAAGACTCACAGCCAGGCCCTACACAGAGCTCACACCTCTGTCACTGAGCCTGCATTTGCCTGCTTTCTTCCCAGGTTCCGGCTGCGATCTCTTGGATGATGTGGTGACTATGACCACTGATCCTGATGTGGACGTGACTGAACTCATCAATAGGGTCAAAGCATTGTTACCAGGCGAAGAAACCGAAAAGGCCGTCACATCCATGAAGGAATGCTTTCTCCATCAGAGCAGAGACACTCTGGAGAAGGTTAAAGAGTTGGAGGTAATTTTGGTGTCTCTTAAACTGTGTTTGAACTGTGGGACAGGACACGCAGGCTCTCAGTTTGTGAAAACTCTTTTTGAAGCACGTGGTGGTCATGCTTGCAGGAAGATGCCTTCCATCTTCTTAACAAAACCTTCAGTGCACTGTCAAGGAACCTAGGTTTCCTGGCACCAGTGCCTAGCACCAGTGGTAATCCAGGCATTGTGAATGAAGCCCCCAGAGTGACAGGTGGAAACCATGCTTGTGAACTTCCCTGGGTGGGGGGCAGAGGGGAAAACAGAAATCAGTGGTTTCACACGGGGCAGACATTTCACCTGTGACAGCTGTTGTGTAGTGTTTTCTAGTGCTCATTCTGGGCCCTAATAACCATTTACAACATTCCAGGGTAACCTCCAGGACACACTGCCACAGCAAAAAAGATGAAAGTGCACATCCTTAAGAAATTCCTGATACAGGGGACGGCATGGATGAACCTTGAGGAACTGTGGGAAAACAAATGAGCCAGTCACGAATAGGCAAATATCCCATTTTGTAGAGTAGCCAGTGTCTTAGACCCAGAGATAGAAGAGTGGTTTCCAGGGGGTGTGTGGAGGAAATTGGCAGATGGGGAGGGTCTGGAGCTGCACCTCAGCACAATGAGAAGGTCCTGGAGGTCACTTGCACTGCCAACTGCATGTTCTTCACATGATTAGCTGTGCATTGAAAGTGGTGAAAGAGTAACATTTGTATGTGTATTCACTGTAAGTACAAAATTTTAAATGATCAGCCCCTTCAATTCAAGAGGATGGGTATTTTCTTTTAATCCTCAGTTAGACAAATCATGAGGAGCACACACCTGCAATGTGTTGTTGACCACAGTTGCTGGGTGGCGGGCAGGGGCTCTTGGCTGCTCTTCAGTCGTGCACAAAGTCAGAACTTCACATTCTCTCGTTTTTGACTGAGATACTGAAAACTGAAACCCAACATATTGTTGGCTACATTATTCCAAAGAGGAAACCTGCAGATAACCTGACCATGGGAACAAACCCTGGGGGGGGGGACAAGATCAGGCAGCACCAGCAGCCCTGGGGTCACTCATAGTCACCTGAGATAGAACAAATGGGATACTTCCAGCTTCTCTTCCAGCACCAGCTTCCTGCCAGTGCATGTGGACCAATGCTGGAAAAACAATGAGTTGGCACGTTTATTCCTCAGGATTTTCCTTGGTAAGAACAAGTGAGATGTAAGTGATGTCTCTGTTTCTCTTTTCCAGGAAACACTAGCCAGTAGCTTTTGGTGTGCTCAGTACTAACTTCCACACGACCTCAGAGATTGTCCACAAACCGACTGTTCACAGGTAGAAGCCACAGCTCAGCTTTCCTTCTTGTCTTGGATCTCCAAAAGCAAGACAATTGTTGAAACCTCACATATATTTTCATTTCAATAAAGCATCTGCAAAACAAAAAGTTGTTTCTTGGTGGTTGAATAAAATGGAGGCTATAGGGAGATTAACGTCACACATGCATTTCTCTCACACACGAGTGTGCACACCCACCAGTGCACAATCATTCTTTACACAACTCAAGGGCAAAATGCTGAGAACCTGAAAGGGCATCCTGTTCCTCATTCCCCACAGCCCAACCGGGACCCTGTCACTGGCATGTGACTGCCCTCCCTCATCCCTACCCCCAGGTCCATCTGGGCACTGTCAGGCTCTCAGTTCCTAGTGATGGTGGCCTGCTTTGGTTCCTGATTTCATGGCGGATCTGAGTTGATGCTGTGCCCACTTACTATGGCCCGGCTCCACTCTGGGCATTCTCTGTCTTAGACTTTAGGTCTCCTTGCACTGCTGACAAAGACCCTCACCATTTCTGTGTATGAAACCTCAACCCAGTGCTGATGAAGATCCTCACACTCAATTCTCACCCCTAAGAGAAAATTCTCACTCCATAAGTAAATCCCTATGGATGAACCTTCCCCTAAACAATGAACGCAGGTCATATCCTCCTCCTGACAAGGCACTGGGCCTTGCCTGAATGTCCACTTTGCACACTTGGGTTTCATGTTGCACTTCTTCCTGGGGTAGTCAGGTATCTGTGATGGCCCTCATATGCCAAGTGGTGGCTCATCTATTTCCCCCTCTTACTCCCTCGAGTGTTACTCCACTGAGCCTGCCTCCAAGACTTACTGGCCAGCTTCCTAGGGAATGTCACTAACGGGGGTGCATTGGGCAGGTTATGCCTCAAAGATGCTTTCACACCTTACCATCCCACTCACATTACCTTAATTCCTTTCAAAAAACATTCATTCCCTAGTTCATTTGGGAAGCTTTCACCTGCTTTGCTCCCTCCCAGTTTGGTGCATTTTCACAGGCATGCATCTGACATATTTGGCATTGGATAGTTTCTTGGGAGTCGATCACCCAATCTGGGATCCATACACCACAACTTGGCATGGGTCCTCTGGCACCAGTGTTCCCTGCCCCCATCTTCCACATAACTTCCAGTAATTCAGTCAACTTTGTCCTCCGGCCATTGCTGGTGTGTCAGCACAATCCACATGATTCATGCAAAGTTTTCCAAGGAATGAAGGCAAATGGCCTCTGAATGACCTCCCCAACTATATCAGGAGATCAGAGGGGCCCCTGGGAAACATATGAACACAAAACTATGTCCCCCTACCTGCATTGGGGCAGTTTGGGCGTGTCCTGAAGCAGGTGGAGCCAATGTGGTTCAGAAGCTGAGTCTGATGAGTTGGTGGGTTTTCTCTGACTGCTTGATCCAGGGGCTGACCTGTGGTATCCACGCTTGCTCTGAGAATCTTTGAAGCTGCCATAGCTCTGGATCCCGTGGCCTCTCCTCCCTCCAAGCCAGTAAGCAGTCCAATGAGAGCATTGGCCATTTCAGTGACTGCAGTCATACTTCTCCTTCTTACTCTCCATCACAGGCCTTGTGTGTCTCTCTCCACATATCCAGTCTGAGTGCAGAGAAGTGGACCCCTCTCCAAGTGGACCACATCAATCAGTGAACAAAGGCCAACTTCTGCATGGGCATGCAAAGCACTGAAACTGAGCAGGGACCATGAGTTCCTAGTAAACAAGTATGTGTGTAGGGGGTGTAATAAGCAAAATGTTAAAATGTGAGGTGTGGATCCAGAGACATGGTCCTTTTGTCTGGGCCTAATATTGTCACCAACCTGGAGGTGCTATGGAGAAGTGGGAGCATGTTCCTTATTATGACCTATTGAGTCTTAGATACTTTCAGCCTCATCTTCATGCATCGATATAAATAAAAAATAGGTGTTCTGGTCAAGATGACGTCGTAGGTACATAGGCTTCACCTTCTTTCTCAACCAGAAAAAAGGAAATGACCAATTTAAAAAGAAAAATCAACCAGAACTACCAGAGAATCCAACTGAATGGAAGCCTGACAACCAAGGAATTAAAGAAGCAATAATCAACTAGACTGGTGGGAGCAGCAGAGATGGGTAGAAGGGCAAAGAAGACGCATGGCAATGAGACCATAGGGCAGACCAGGTGGTCGCACATTTGCCTGTGGATAAACCAAGAGGAAGAACAGGGGAGTGACACAGACCACACAACCCACGGTTCCATAGGGTGCCAAATAAACCCTTTGAATCAGTGATGTAAAAACCTGTGGGAGAGTGGCAGTGGGAGAAACTGACAGTCCCTTGAAGGTGTGTAGAGCTGAGAAGGCGCCATTGTTCCCTCTCTGTCCCCTCCCCCACAAACAATCCCACAAGGCCGACATGTGGGTTGCCCCACTCTGGAGAATACCCAAGGCTCTGCCCCTTACAACACTAACAGGTGTGCCTAGAGGAAAAAGATGGGACAAAGAAGACCCAAACATAGGAAAGAAAAGTGACAACAAACTCACAGCTGTCAATGACTGAACTGAAAAAAGCACAAAGTAAGCAACAAGTAGAATGGGAATGGAATCAGCGAAATGGACAATACATAGAGGATTTTCAGTGGGGATAGGGAGAAGTGAATGGGGAGGAAAACACACAGGGAATAAGAAGCATAATTGGCAAGCAGAAAAGAGATGGGGAGAGGTTAAGAATGGTATAGGCAACAGAGAAGTTAAAGAATTTATTTGCACAAATCGTAGACATGAACTAAGAGTGAGGGAATGATGGAGGGTTATGGGTACATGGTGAAGGCAGGGATAAAGGGGAAAATTTGGGAAAACTGTAACAGCACAATCAATCAAATATACTTAAAAAATACGGGCCAAATTAAAGAACCCACCAAAACTCTAGAAATAGAACTAGGTGAATAGAAGATAGCACCTATGAGATGCACAGTTCAAAACACTAGTGATCAAGATGCTCACTAAAAATGATTGAGTACAGTCCCAAAACAAAGGAAGAAATAAAAGCTATACATAGTGAAATAAAGAAAAATGTACAGGGAACCAACAGTGAAGGGAAAGAAAGCGGGACTCAAATCAATCATTTGGAACAAAAGGAGGAAGGAAACATTCAACCAGAACAGAATGAAGAAACAAGAATTCAAAAAAAATGAGGAAAGAAAACAAGACTCTGGGACATCTCCAAATGTGCAACATCCAAATCACAGGGATGTCAGAAGGAGAAGAGAAGGAGCAAGAAATTTAAAACTGATTTGAAAAAATAAAGAAAGAACATTTTCCCAATCTGGCAAAGGAAATGGACATACAAGTCCAGGAAGCTCAGAGAGTCCTGGAAGCTTTGGATCCAACAACTTGAATCCAAAGAGGACCACATGAAGACACATTGCCCAAGGTTAAAGATAAGGAAAGAACCTTAGAAGCAGTAAGAGAAACAAAGAGAGTTACCTACAAAGGAGTTCCCATAGGACTGTCTGCTGATTTCTCAAAGAAATCTTGCAGGAAAAAAAGGACTGTCAAGAAGCATTCAAAGTCACGTAAAGTAAGGACCTACAACATAGATGACTCTATCCAGCAAAGCTCTCATTGGCAATGGAAAGACAAATCAAGTGCTTCCCGGATAAGGTCAGATTAAAGGAATTCATCATCACCAAGCTCTTATTATATGAAATGAAAAAGGGACTTATCTAAGAAAGAGAAGAAGATCAGAACTATGAACAGTGAAATGACAACAAACTCACAACTGTCAAAAATTGAACCAAAAAACCCAACCAACCAACCAACCAACCAACTACCAACCAACCAAACGAAAAAACAAAGAAACAAGCACAAACTAAGCAAAAACCAGAACAGGAACAAAATCATAGATATGAAGCTTACCTGGAGGGTAATCAGTAGGGAGGTGAAGGACGGGGAATGGGGAAAGAAGCTACAGGGAATAAGAAACATGAATGGTAGGTACAAAATACACAGGGGGATGGTAAGAATAGCATAGTTAATGGAGAAGCCAAACAACTTATATGTATGGCTCATGGACATGAACTAAGGGAAGGAAATGCTGGAGGAAATAGGGGACCAGGCAGAGGAGGATAAAGGGGAGAAAGGAACAATGGGACAACTGTAATAGCATGATCAAAATATAATTAAAAAATAGACCCCACAAGATTTATTGGTACCTATTCGTTATTACTATAGTCACTTTGGATTAATGTTTCTGAAGAAGTTATAACATTTTTGTGGAACCTAGAGGTATTGATTGCCTAATTCCCTGTTTGGATTTTTTCTGGTTGAAGAGTCAGCCCTGGAGGGAGCTGAATTGTTCAGAGAAAGGTCAGGAGTCATTCTGGTTGAGGGGATAGCTTGGGAAGGAAGAGGGACCCACCCTGGTGTGAGCAGGAGGGTGTTCATAAATTTGTTTGCCCAGGACTCCGGGGGCTGGAAAAGGTAAAAGGGCTGAGGTCCAATCTCAACATCTCCTGCTTTGCTTTATTCTTGTGAAACAACACGCATGTCCCTCAAAACCCACTGCCTGTGTGTCACAGTGGGAACAAGAAAATAGGCCAATTGCCATCTGCAGGGAGAGTCACACAGATTAAGGGGCACCAATAATCCCAGTCATAGTATTTTTTGTGAAAGTTTGTTAAAACTCAAAATAAATGTCATATATCCATTTTAAGGATTAAGAGAGGATGTGGCCTTCCTTTGCCAGAGTCACCTCCCTCACTGACTCAGTTCTCCTCCTGGCACCTTGGGTCTGCTACAGAGAATGCCTCCTGCCACCTGTGGGGAGCAGGACACAATGAAGTTCCTGTCCTGTAGAACTTTTCATCCCCTTGGTGTGTGTTTACCAGTTTGAAGACTAAAACCCGAGGCTATTCCTGGGATGTCATCCTGAGACCTGAGGGACATGTGTGCCTGTGCATCCTGCTGAGGACAGAGTCCAAAGACCCTGCCTGCG